TCAATAAATCCATTTTTGGTCACAGCAGACTGCACTCCTGAGACTAAAGTATGTGTCTTCATGTTTACTGGCTGTTCCCAATGTTGGAATTTAAGTCTCTTGACAGTTTCAGTGCATAGTTTGTAGTAATATATCTCTATCTTGCTAAGTAGTGTTCATAAAGGACATATTTATACCTACATATGACGTAGATTGGACATCGCTACACATATTGAAAAGACTTGATGACAGGTCTCTAAAAGGAAAACAGGTCTCTCTTGTAAATGAGTCCTCGAGGCTCAATGAGACCAACCTGTATAAATAAAGGTTGCATGAGTAAAACTAGTATAATACACTGACATTTAGTGACTGCCTTATGAAAAGTACTATTATTGTTAACAAAGTCCATGCTCAATAATCCAGCTATACAATCAAACATTGGATTGTATACCTGGATTATTGAGCATGGACTTTGTTGTTTTCAACCAGTTTGACAGAAGAGGGCCGGCAACGGAGGAGGGGGCATACCAAAGAGACCATCTTATCACAAGCAGAACTGGTTTGTTCCACTTTGGAGTAAGCTGTTGGGGGAAGAATCAGTTTTGTTGTGCGTTTCCTTGACTGATGAAGCCTTCTGGATCGAAGGTGAAACGTTTCAGCACAAAAAAAGAAACTGTCCAGACTGAAAAATGTTGGATACTATTATTATTATTATTATTTTTCTTTGAGAAACATGAAAATTTTATCTGCTGTGGTCTACGCCTTTTGTGAGGGCAACCATACAAGAACATAGTTCATTGGGATCCGTTCCTGGTCTGTAAGGACCACTATCCTGCATGTTTTCACTGTTTTGCTCCAGTACACTAAATTAGTATCAATGGGAGATAACAGGCTTCTGCAGAAGAAGAAGATGTAATTCAACCATTGAATCGTGTTGGAGCAGGGAAACGAGTAAAACATGCAGGTTAGTGGCCCTCAAGGACCTAGACTGGACGCCTATGACATCGTTTTTGGTTCTTGTATAGGGCCAACAGAGCAAAGAGGGTGTGTAGACTATGTTGCGTGTTGACAGCACACACTTCGAGTAAGGTAAAGAAGTGCAGGGAATTTTTTTAATGCTTACCAGATGGCACGCTCACAGGAAGGTTTTAGGGGAAACTGGCCCCTAATGAATGAGGAGACGACTCACCTGAGGGAACAAGAGACATCAAAAGAAGCCTTTCTCTCTTTTTTCGTTTTATTTTTTGTCCGATTTGCTCATCGTTTTCTCCACTCACCATGAGCCTCATTCACTGACTTAATAGTTTCCCTCAAGTAATCTGTGGGCGTTGAACCAGCCTTCCTTTTTTTCACTTAAAAAAAAAAAATACAGTACATATCCTGGTTGCTCTGTTACATTTTTACCGTGACGTAGCCAGAGGGCATGTTGAGACAGAGCCGACGTGAGGCGAAACCCTGACGTTCACTGAGGCCAGCACACACTTAAACTCATTAACATCCTCGACCTGAATTGAATATTCAACCCACTTGTGGCTGCGGGGAGACAGAAGACAGTTCAGAGCAGAACTGAAACTGTTTTTAATCTTTAAAGGTTTTACTTGTGCAGTTGGCATGTATGGGAGGGAAAGCCTCTCACTGG